TTCTGCCCCTAAATCCAATCTTCCTTTGCTCAAGTTGTTTTGCAAAATACAGTTTCACCCCTCACAATAAGTTGATTAAGTATCAGATGGTTCTGCAAACTCCAATATATACAAAGAATTCAAAAATCCCTTTTTTTCCAGGTTCAGAGATAGCCATTGTTGACTCACAGTGTGCTGTAATTCAGGACATGACCAATTAAATTAAACAAGATATTGGCTAAAATAGGGATTATTGCTGCAAGTAAACTGGCAGAAAGCAGAAATGTATTGCATAGGGATGATATGGACTTTACAAGATAGATTTTTTCAGATGATCTATTTCTAGAACATCTGTGCCATGGAAACTTTTTATTGTACAGTTTAACATAATAGCAAACACACCATCCCATACTGTTGATCACATCAAACAGAATCCAGGCGAGTCAATGTCAATTGGCAACCCTTGCTCTTACAAGCAGGAATATCTTGGAACTGCTTGGCAGGTAATTTCTCAGACAAGGCTCCGACATAGAACTCAATCATGTCAGAAGTCTTGTCTACCTCGATCCCAGTAACAGACACCCATAAGAACAATTTCTTCGCCTGAATCCCTGACACGCCGTGTACGGAACCATAACTCAGCTTCCCTTTGATGTGCTTATCGTAGTAAACCAGCTGGTCAAATTGGACGTAACATGGAGTGTAGAGCTCCACCGAGAAGTCCCCGTCGTCTGATAGAGTATAGGACTTGACATTGTTGGGAAGGAGACCCTTTGGCAAGCCGTAGGTGGGGAGGAGATCGTGCACGTCTTTGATGGAGGTGATTGGACGGATGGGATTGAGTTCTGGGTCGGCAGCGGAAAGAGAGAGACGGGTTTGGAGGACGAGGACAAGGAGAAGAATGTAGAGGAACGTGGAGGCCGCCATTGATGAAGACTTGGGAGGAGACTTTTCCTTGAGAGAGACAAAAAAGGTGGATGACTTCTTGGATGGGAACTTTGAACAGGTACGTAACTCAACGATTGGTGGAGGGTAAAATGTGAATGTCGTTTTCTCGAGAATCTTAAACAATGTACATCGTACAGTTGCAGGGACTTGGCCGGTAGTTTGGCAGTTGTCTCACTTGCCTATTGGTAGCAAAATCCTTTCAATTATTTCAAAGGAAAATGGTTTTTATACAATCTATTTATTTTATTTTATTTTTGTATAACTTAACGTATTATTAAAATAATTAATTTTTTTAATTCATATGAAACTCATGATATTAAATATATTTACTTATTTAATAACATGTAAAAATTATATAAAAAAAAAAACAAAAAATTATCCCAGTAGTATGACCCTATTTTAAATTTCAAAATAGATTTCATTTTTTTATTTATTCTTGGCATTTTTGCTAGATAACATGGGACCTCTGATAACGAGCACAGCTGCTCCATCTGATTGTTTTTGGTACTTTAATAATTTAGTATAATCCAGACGGTGAAACACTCTTCTTACATACTATCTAACAAAATCTCCCCCATATTTGCATTTGCATCTAATTGAAACAGAGAAGACAAGCAATATCATGCCAGATATTGTTCTTCATTTCATATTTCAGTACAGAAAGTTTGAAACATGAGACACATGGGTACAGTAGCTAAGCCAGAGAGAACATGTCCATTTATATACACATTGTACATATACCAACTTGTTCTGGAAAAGGCATTGCAGACTTGTAATATTGAGTCTGGAAATTACCATCTACAATGTGCTAAGAAGATTCTATGTTCATCTCCCATGCCACGGAAGCAATTGATGGCAGCTATTCTGTAATTAGCATTGGGATGTCTTCTGTAGGCGTTGGAAGCTGCATATATCGGTTAAAAAAAAAAAAGAGGCATGAATTCGATCACTTTGAAAGACAAACTCTTGTATTAAGGAATAGAGACATTACCAAGTATAAAAATGATGCAGATGAGAACTCCCATCAGGATTTAAAACATGAAGCACGTACTAAAGTCATGATTGGCTTTAAATTCACTAAAAAATTATAGTTTTCCTGAAAACTGACTCTTATATCTATGCCCAAAACAGACTCCACTGAATAAATTCATGAAAACAAGAAGTAGTTCAGCCAATTTTCAATCACAATCTATAAAGGTCAATGAGGATAGCAATTGATTTTGAAAAAGATAAGTGCATTAACCATAGGGAAGCCTGCTTATATGCAATAATGTTTAATTTAAGGCAAATACAGAAAACACTTTAATTTATGCTGAGCTAGCGTAAAATGCAGTCATAAGTCCATCAAATTGGTAAGTTATTGCTTTGGAAGAATAAGAACGTAGCTTTATGTAAGGTTCTTTGTTAAAAGACTCATTTACCAAAAACAGAGAGATAAGCAACTGCCCATTCATTCTTTTTTAATCAGCAAAACGCCAGTTCATTCTAATATTGTTCATAATGAGATTAAGACTGCAATGTTAAACCAACAATCCTATCTTTATGCAGTGGCATGAAATACCATATCAGCAGTTCCAATAATCTAATGTAGCAATTTTAGGATGCAATGGAGAAACATTGCAACTCCATAAGCTAAACTCAACTGCTACCATATCCAAGTTCTCCTTAATCAATATCATTCCAATCAAATTCCAATTGAACCGGATTTGATAATTACACACAAGGCCTAAGGGACCATCTTGCTCTATTCTCCTGCTCTTCCTCACCCGGAGGTATATTAACTTGATATAAAGATTCAAGAATTATAAAACAGAAGATGCAAAATAAAAACCTAACAATCAACACTTAGGCCTAACATCATTGTGTACTATCGATTCATGTAGCTCAAGAACCCATTTTTATAATATCAGCCCCACAAGAAATGAAAGAACACAGATAACTAACTCAAGAAATTTTGTCAAACTTAGGCCTTACTTCACGAAATCAAGTCAAAATCAATCCGCAAAATACAACTCAGAAAGATCAGCACGTAAAAGCAACAAAATCAAATAAAAAAAATAGCAGAAGTCAAACCCAATACCTCAAGAAACCATTTACAAGAACCCGGGTAAGGTCCCTTCCGCCCATCACGGCAAGAATGCACAGACTTGAACTGATCAACGTCGAGCCTCTTGTTGACCAACCCGAATTGGAAATAAATCGAATCAGACGGCGGCAAATCGACGTTGATCTCGTCCACATTGAACCAAAAGAAGAAGCGCTGGACCTGAATGCCCTCCAACTCAGTTATGGAGCCATAACCGAGCTTCCCCGTGATGGTCTTGTCGTAGTACACCAAGTATTCGAATTGCACATAGCAAGGCTTCTCCAATTCCACGGTGAACCTGCCGTCGCTCTGGAAGGTGAAGTTCGAGACCGTGCTCGGCAGGAGGCCGCTCGGGAGACCGAACTTGGGCAAGATTTCGTAAACTGTTGGTGGGTTATGATCAGAATCGGAAACGGAGACGGAAACGATGACGGGGACGAGAAAGAAGAGGGAGATTAGTGCAAGACGGATATCGGAATTTGGGTTTTGCGCCATTTGCACAAGCGTTGGATTCAGGTTGTTTGAGGGGGAAAAGAAAGTTGGAGACTTTGGTTATAAAGTTGAAATCTTTGGGGAGATTGAGCTGTATACGGACGGTATTGTATTTATCTAGTAGTTGTCGCCTAGTAGTTTTGACGAAAGGGGATTGGGTTTGAAACTTATATTAGGGTTTTGCTATTTTTAATTTAATTTAATTTAATTTTTTTACATTAAATAATAAATTATACATAAAAGATAATTTTCTCATTTCTTTTAATTTCTCTTTACTTATTTTAAAATTTAAATTTAATATTAATTTAAGAAAATAATGCCTATCAACCTTATCTTCTAAAAATTAAAAGAAAAATTATCCCAAAACTATATCGTTTTAATATATTTTTATTAAAAAAAACTAAATTATCTTATTTTCAAAGTATATATTAAGGTAATTTTTATCATTTTTTCTTCTAATTTTTTAGAGGTAAGGCGGATAAGCAGTAACTTCATTTTAAAAATAGTGCCTATCAACCTTATCTCCTAATTTTTAGGAGGAAAATCATCTCAAAATTATGTCATTTCAATAAATTTTTATTGAAAAAGACTAAATTATCATATTTTAAAAGCATATATTAAGATAATTTTTATCATTTTTTTCCTAATTTTTTTAAGGTAAAACAAGCAAGCACTAACACATTTTATTTTTCATTCTTGAGATCAAACTTTCTTGTGATTTATCTTTTTACCTCGATTTACTAGAAAATTTATTGAAGTTTTTTTAAAATCTTAATAGGAGTAATCATTATCCCTTTTTATTCCTATTTTTTGGATGATCAAAATTCATTATGAATAGGAAATTTATGAAATGTACAAAATCTAAAATTAGCGAAAATTTACCCCAAAAAAAAATTGAGGGAAAATGATCCTATTTGAAAAAACGTGCACTACCATTTAATCCATAATTGAAAAAACCATTGACAAGAACTAAATTGGTCTAATGAATAAAATTAAATAAAATTAGATCAATGCGACTTCTATCATGTGATGAGATATGAAGTTTGATCGCTAATGAATGCAATGTAATGGAGGTAAATGGAATGTGAATGTGCATGTTAAATTATTAACGAGGAATTGGAACACATTTGCTTTAATGTTTAAATTTTGTTAGAGAATTAAACCTAATCGATAGGGTGAGAAAACTTGCACTACCATTTAGTCAAGTTCCAAACTTGACTAACTTTCTACATTAAAAAAAAAAAAATAGTAACTCTATTATTATTTGGAGCTTGAAATTACTAATAGATAAAAAATGAAAAGAAAATTTGGGAAATTTTTACGGAAGAAATTTTGAGATTTATTATTATTATTATTATTATTGTGTTTTTAGTGTCTTGGCACATCTATACCATATTTAGAATGAAGAGGAGGATCTGGGTTTGCTGATATTTTTTGGGTAAGAAATAGAATTCATAAAGATCAACTCTCCAACCTTATCTAATAGCAGTACTTATCTAATTTGATATCATTTGCCTTTTAAAGAACAGGGAATTAATCAGTAGTCAAAGGTTTAGCTGTTGTGGTTGTGGAGGATCAATTATGTACAAAAAATCAAAAACTAGTACGCACAAAAATCTCTTTTTCTATTTTCCGTTTAAAATTAGTGAAATTCTTGGATAGTAAGTAGTTTTTTTTTTTTTTTTTTTCTTTAAGTCATGTTCTAGATAATTTTTCTTGGGGTGTTTGGGACCGAACATGGGGAAAAGTTGGATTTTGCAGGCCTTTGTCCCTTTTCGTTTTCTTTTTCCTTCTGGGCCTTTATATGACAAACTTTCAGTTTTCAAAGGATGAAAAAGCCCAACTGAGCTGATCACTAATTAGTGTGCTGGCCTGCTGGGTTTTTTTTTTTCTTTTTCTTTTTCTTTTAACATTTGATTATGAGTTATATAAGAAGGGATAACTCCCCTCTATTTCTAAATCTCTTCTCACCTAATTCAAGGTTTGAATTTGAGATATTCAACTTAGAATCTCGGGTTCTTAACAGACTTGTTAGGTTCTTGCTTGGGTACCTGCCCATCTATGGTTTGCTATTGGGCTTAAGCCTTTCAAATTTCGATGATTTTGACCTTTATCTAAAATTTTAAACATTATTTTTAACTAAAATATAAAAAATTGTTACTTTTGAATGTTTATTTTACTCATTTAGTGTTTTGAATTTTGATTTAAATTTTCAGTTTAGTGTTACTCCATTTGGCATTTTGAGCTGTTGTTGAGCCTACTTAGGTTAGAATATTTTTTGTTACTATTTTTAGTAGTTAGACATAGACATACATGCCACTTGGAAGGTTTCTAGCACATTGTATTTGCTTGGTTTTTACCTTTTGGTATCATTGTTGTTTTTTGTTTTGATTGTTTTAATATCATATTTCGGGACTTGAATTATTATGTAAAAAAGAATCTAAAGATCATGGAAAATATATACCTTATAATTCAAAAAAGAATTCAAAAAATTACAATGTTTTTAATATTAATAACGTCCAGATGTCCTATCATTTTTTTTGAACTGATTTTACAAGAGGCTGGGTTCGAACCCCAGCCCTGGGAGAAGAGGAATGCACCATGAGTGGCTATTACCACTTGACCCGAAGAGCTCGGTGCGTCTAGATGTCCTATCATGGTCACAAAATGAGTGAGAAATAATATAATTCTGACTTAAATTTTATCCATCATGTGATTGAAATTGAATATATTGATATCGAACTTTTCTGAACATGGATGAAACAGAAAGTAAGCATCGTTGATTTGGGGTTGACCAAGCAAGTGCTATGTTAACTGGAAAAAGAGGAAATGAATGTGACGGAAATCTGTCCCAAAACTTAAAAATTAATCAATATAGGCCCCTCTAATTTCCATTGCAACTTGCAAAGGAAAGTTCAAAACAGTATATGTATATGATATGAAAAAGACAACATATGGTAGAGAGAGATAATAAACTCAAATATTGTCCACAAATAATGATACATAGGAGAGGGTTAAGGGAAACACCGAATAACCAAAAACCATATATCAAACATTAAAGATTAGGTGTAAAGCGAAAATCCAAAGAGAGACACCAAATACCATCTTCATTCCAAGCCATCTCTTCTCCTTTACCCCACCATCACTCTTTTCTTCAGCACTTGTTGTACTGGTGGTTGAGTTTCCTTTAATTCAATTCCATAAATGAATAGTTTGCCAAAAGTCAGAAAGAAAGAAAGAAAGAAAGAAAGAAAAAAAGCTCTAATAAATATCAAAGTCGTTAATATTACCAATGCTACTAACCAAACCAAAGCTTAGTTCAAAATGAAGTTCATCCAAATTTCTGTTTTCTTTATAACACGACATGAGGATGTTAGTGCTCGATAGAATTGGTATTAACTAATTTCAAAATCTCAATCTTAGGATGAGTGTAGAGATTTGAATTCCAACTAAACACCGTAAAATTCAAGAGGCATAAAAATGGTTAATTACCAGTAGTAGCTGCAGCTGGGGGACTGCTCTGCCCATTTGTGAGCTTTTCATATCCTTCAAACATCTTTGCTTCTTTTGAATTTGGGGCTAAGTGAAGAAGGGCTGAAAAGAATAAGAAGAACCTAAATGGCTTCAGAAATCAGAACAAATAGAAAATGAAGCAGAGAAGCATTAAAATCTGTACAAAGATGGGTGATTTCCCCATTTTTTTGGTACTTACAAACGCAGTCTGAGATGTTAACAGGAGCATGGCATGTGCTGGGCAGAGTTGCTGCAAGAGTGGAGTTGATCTTGAGGCCAAGGCTGGGATCATCCTGGTCTTGAATCAAGATGCAGAGGCACTTCCTGCTCTTGTCAAGCACCTGTTTGAGGCCGGCGCAGCAATCCAAGGTAGGGGCTTTTGAACTGCCGCCGACGTACGGTAGGCAGGGGGCCAGACCCACAAGCTGGTTGGCACACTCTGCCCTGTCCTGCGCCACATCGGAGTTTGCAATCCCCACCAGCATCAATAAGATGGTGCAGGAGAACAAGAGTGCAGCAGTTCGACAGTTTGAGTCCATTTTTCACAGGGAAAATTGAGGGGAAGAGGCTGGGGAAGGAGGAAAAGCGGGGATGAGAGCAAGACAAGGTTCAAGAGGAAAAGGCTTCAAATAGGGACAGTGTGAAATTTGAAATTAATGTGATGGTGGAGGGTAATGGAGTGATTTTCCATTTTTAGTACAGTAACATAAGATGACTTTTGCTTTTTAAACTCGCTGCCTCTCCATTACAAAACTTGAAGTTGAAATTTTTTTTGTAGGGACTGAAATTTTTAATTGGAACCTATCCTGAGAGACATTAATGTAGTGATAAATCAACTTATGTGGCTTTTATTTATGATTAAGGAGTTTAATTTGATAATGTTATCCTCTACCTACATGTTAAAACATGTATTTAACCCCTTGTTTTAATAAATTTGAAAATTTTAACATCTTACCTTATAATATGAAGTTTTTTAACCATTTAATTTAAAGATTTGAAGATTTTAATCTTTAAACTAACGGAATCCGTTAAGTTTTTGTTAAAATGGGAATAAAATATTTATTAGGATTAGTCTTTAAAAATTAAAAATATAACCATTTAGTTTCAAAAGTTTAAAAATTAAAAAAATTAGTAAATTAAAAATAATTAGTGGATAACTTTGTTACATACATGATAACAATATTAAATATCTATAATTAAATTGAGTAATTAACTTAATCTAAAAAAAGATATTTGATTGAGATTAAAGGAAATTTCTTAACTCTTTTTTTTTAATTCTTTGAATTTTTGCCTTAATCCAGCTAAAAAATTTTCTTTAATCTCAATTAAAATTCTTTTGTTTAATTGAGTTAATTATTTAATTTAATTATGGATAACTAATACTATTATAATATATGTGAAAAAGTTATCTATTAATTTTTTTAAGTTTTAAACTTTTAAAACTAAATTATTATATTTTTAATATTTGAAGACTAATCTTGTAAATATTTTTAATGAAGAGTTAACGAAATATGTTAATTTAGGAACAAAAATCTTCAAAATTTTAAATTTAAGAGTTAAAAACTTTACACTATAAAGTGAGAGATTAAAAGTTTTAAATTTAATAAAGCAAAGGACTAAACACATATTTCAACCATAACTACAATGGTTGTGTTTTTAATATTTTAAAAATATATAAAATATATTTAATATTATTTTAATTAACATTTTATATATTTTTAAAATAATAAAAATATAAAAATTAAAATACTAAGAAACTTTTTAAAATGAAGCCTGAAATTTATTAAATATTTAATTTCAAACCACATATACTAATATATTTTTCTATTAGTAATAAATAAAAATACTGTTGAGGTACACTTGGGTCTCACGTCTCAACAACTATAGATCCAATTAAGAGGTGTGTGCATCCACTAACCCTAGAGCTGAGATTTGAATCATTTGCTCCCAAATGGGCAAAACCCCATAGCTTGCCCTTTAACATTTTGAGTGTGTGGAACTTTACCCCTCACATTACAATATATGATTTTATACTCTCATGATATTTGAGTTTATGATAATAAAGCAATATTTAACGTTGAAGGGCCATATGCAGCACATGCATCGTTAATTTCTGTCATACATGTACAAGTCAATGACATGTAAGCCTTTTTTCACATGCTGGCAATCCAACTTGGACTACTCGTTCACGAGAAATATACCACCAAACAATTTAATTGTAGGTCCCACTCTCTAACTCTGATATACAAATTAAAGTTAAATCACACATTTATCCTCTCATCATCATCCCTTCTGTTCAATCTCTACCTTTCTAGGATCTCCATCTCCAATAAACTCAAGCCCATGTTCTTATTTCTCCGGACATGCTTTTGCCCTTTCTCCCATTCAAACTCACAATTTCATAGCATATTTCAATCATCCATATAAACAAAATTTTGCACATTTCATAACATTAAATTTCCATTCCACAACCAAAATATTTGAAAAAAAAATTCCATCAAGAAAATACATCTATATATCATTAGTTGTTGCTAAAAAAAAAAAACAAAATCTATAAATCTAGGTTTGGGAAACCTTGGAATATGGGTTTCTTGAACCCATATCTCGGTTCCATCAAATCTAGCAATTAGGGTTTAATGGAACCTAGATCTGGGTTCCATCAAACCCAAAACCTCTGTTCGCATGGAGAGGAAGAAGTGGGAAGAGAGAGAAAGGAAGGAGGGGGAAGAAAGGGAGAGGGAGGAGAAAGATGCACTTGAATCCTTACCAAAGATGTGAAGGTGATGGGCTATAGGAGGAAGAACAAGAAGAGGACGAAGGAGGCGAGGAAGATATGCGTTGGAAAAGTAAGGAAGAAAGGAACTAGAGATGGGAAGAAGATGAATAGGGAAAATGGTAGAGAACAAATGAAGAAAATGAGTGGACGATAGTAATTCTAATTGATAGTAAAAAATTAAGGTTTGCTTATATGATCAATCATCATGTGCCATGTCATTAATAACTTCTTATGTTGATTTTAAAATGGGGTTCGCATGGTTTGTGAGCTACCCACATGTAAAATCAATGTCTAAGTGGCACTGAGGTGTACTTGGGAAATGAAGGGTAACGGGAGGATGTTAATATTTTCCTCATATACTCAAATTATTTAAGGTTAAGGGTAAAGATTCATACATTATAAGGTGGAGGGCATTTTGCCTCAAGCTTGAAAAGTTGAAGGGCAATTTGTGGGGTTTTGCCCTCCCAAGTGTAAGCTTGTGCAAAAACAAAAACACGCCGTTGAGGCAATATTCCTGTAGCTTTAAAGAATTTCCCGTGACACAATGATACAGTGAAGTTACACATAATTCCATATGTGATGTGATAATTTGTCATCAACCATGCATACAAAATTTTTCTGTGCATGTGCGTTTTTATTACTTTATTTTAAAAAAAATTCTTTTTTTTTTTTTTTTAAGTTTTCCAACCAGATCTAGTTGTATATTTATTAATCTGTATCTATAACTATAAATAAGTATTTTTCACGTGAACTTGTATGAGAAAAATATTGAAATATTTGTAAAATTATTTAAATATATTTAATAATATTTTACATTAATTTATTAAAAATATTAAATTAATTTCATCAGTATCCCCTATTTTATTCTTACCAGTTGACATAAAAATTAGCAGCCTCATATAATTAACCACTTGGAGTATATAATTTAAATGGGGTCAGAATAACGAATTATTACATGGGACCATAACTTTCCATATATACATTTAATATTTTAAAGAATTATTTGTTAAATGAATTATTTTATACATATAAATTATACATGTGAAATTTCCACTCTCACTCCTCACAAGGATATTAAAGGAAAACGCATGTGGGAAGGGGGAAAATGAGGAGGTATTAGGTAGCAAGAGAAGGTTCAAGGTCCCAGCCCTTTTATGCTTGTGATTTTATGCTTGGGAAAAAAGGGAGAGGTGCTGGGGCACCCTAAAATTATATGGTTGATAATGTACATGTACATGTACTATTTTCTTTTCCCCATGCATGGCATGATTTCATTTTTGTTTCTTAAACATGTGTTGCTCTGCTTTGATAAACCCGTGACCATTATGATCAACCCGTGATTACCCAAAAAAAAATTCTTTAGATTACTGATTTCTAAAGTGATGTTGAGATCTCTAATTCTCTATATATTAAGCCTTACCCTACCAGCATTTTATTATTTCAGGTGGGCCTATAATTAGATATTGATTGAGATTAATGATGATTGTTGGTAACTACTCTAGTTATGGTACATATATAGTATATAACTAGATTGCATTTCAACTTTTCAAAATGTCCAGAGAAATTGAAATTATTTTGCAATTTGGTTAATCAATAATATGGGCATGCCATTAATGCTTGTAGTCATCTACAACTACTTAGAAAGTTGGACAATATTTATATTCTGGCCCCAACACAGTTAGAGCTTAATTTCTTCTTTTAGTCAAGATATCCACTTACAAATTTGTATGTATTTGAAAACTAATTTATTTTTAATTAATTTATAGTTTTATTTTATTATTGTGAGTGAATATTATGAGTTTTAAAAGAAAAATTCATGATTTATTTTTTCCATATAGTAAATCAAATGAGTAATCAAAACCTTAATTCTCCAAATATGGTAGATTACCATGTGTAAATGTACCAAACATATTAACATTTTCATCATAGTTATGTAATCATATTGCAAATCATAAGAAAAAACCAACACAGACACAAGAAGGAATACTTGGATAACTGATGGAGAATTTTATGTTGAAAGTTGAAACTTCAATCTAGATAGGACACATGGGAGTTGAATAGTACTACAACGAAAAATTTAAATGCTTTCTATTATTAGCGTAAGGTATGGGTAAAGGGAGAAGAAAGATGCTAATGGCGAAAGAAGTACACTGTAAGCCAATTTTGGAGCTAAGTTTTACATACCAACTAATTAATTGCGCCAACTGGATGCCTTAAAAAGGCTAGATCTTTAATGAACCCCACACGCTATTGTTGTCTATAAACATCTATAGGGTTTGTGTAAAGATTTATTTAATAGGTGCCTTTTGAGTACATATTAAAATACATTAGTTGTATTATTTTATAATAATTTTTTATAAAAAAAATATAAAAATAAAATGTTATTTTTAATATCAATTTCATTTGAATTATTTTAATTAAATAATTGATAAATTTAATATTAATTTTTTATTTTTTATATAAATTATTTATAAAAAAAATATTATATGTGCTCTAATGGAACATGTTGGAC